CCCCGATTGGATTGTTGCAAAGTTGATTGGTTCGTTTTTTATGTCTTATTATTGATTTATTTAAAATCAAAGCATATTTCGGGTTGTAAAATAATTATTTTCTTTTTTCCCGCGTGAATAATGTATTAATGATTTATCCAGATACACTGTTCCTATTTAGCTTATGTCTGGGGTGGATTGACGATATGGAGTCATACATTTTACATGGGTATTTGAACGAAGGTGAATTTTAAAAATTCGACTGGAATTCGAACTCGCCCGTTCCTGGCACCTTCTACAGAATAATAGCCCCGTTTTTATCTGTTGGTGTTGATGTCTCATGCTCATAATATTTGCTTTTCACTTCGATGTTATAAAGCTTATAGATTGCTCGGTGAAGATGGTCTGATACATTGTGCGCTTGTATATATTTTGTTTTGGGCCAATTCAGAACATCTAGCTGTTCTGAATTGACCAAACAGAGACTGCATACCATGTTTATATTTGCTATCGAATTATTATTATTATTATTATTATTATTATTTGAATTGGTAGCGGGCGTAGAAATACAAATAAAACTGGTCGACATTATAGCAACAATAGTCTTTTAATATTACTAGAAATAACAGTGAATTTTTTTTATTTACTCATTGTATTTCGCGTATATTTTTCTTTCTGTTTCTTGATTTGACATTTGCCTCGTTTTATGTTATTTTTTTTCTTATTTCTGAATCCTGGCGCCAGTTTGTCGTTTTTTTTAAGATCCACAACAACGTCTTATTCTAAAGGAATAATAAGAAATGGACTTTGCTAGATTTTAGGATATTCGAGTTCTGAAGACAAATATGGAGGAATGAAAGAAAAGAAGCGGGAAAAAAATCTGGAGAGAATTCAGAATTGAAAGATGAAATGAAAAAGATGATTGAAAGGAAGGAAGAAATAGAAGTTGACTTGAAAAATGTAAAAAAATAAATAAAATTTGGTGAACAAAAAGTGCGTTAGGGAAAGAGAGGACAATTGAAATAAAGAAGGGCATGAAAAAGGATATTTGAGTGTGAACGATGATAAGAAGGAAAGAAAGGGAGTCGACAAAAGAAAGAAAGAAAGAAAGAAAGAAAGAAAGAAAGAAAGAAAGGAGAAAGAAAGCAAGAAAGAAATCCAACAAAAGAGACACCGTAGAATAAAAAAGAAAGAAAAAAGAAAGAAAGAAAGAAAGAAAAGAAAGAAAGAAATCAACAAAAGAGACACCATAGAATAAAGAAAGAAAGAAAGAAAGAAAGAAAGAAAGAAATGCAACAAAAGAAAGACCATCGAATAAATAAATAAATAAAGAAAGAAAGAAAGAAAAAATGAAGAAATTCAACAAAAGAAAGACCAAAGAAAGAAAGAAAGAAAGAAAGAAAGAAAGAAAGAAAGAAAGAAAGAAAGAAAGAAAATTATCCAAAAGAAAAATCATAGAATAAAGAAAGAAATTCAATAAAAGAAAGACCGTAGAATAAAGAAAGAAAGAAATTCAACAAAAAAGATCATGGAATAAAGAAAGAAAGAAAGAAAGAAAGAAAGAAAAAAAAAAGAAAGAAAGAAAAAGAAATTAAATTAAAAGAAAGAACATAGAATAATGAACGAAAGAAAGGAAAAAGAAAAAAAGCAAGTCAACAAAAGAAATTATGTCGAATGAAGGAAAAACAGAAAGAAAGACAAAAGAAAAAAATACAAAAAAGACTGAAAGAGCGTCAACAAAACAAAGATCATAAATTAAAGAATGATAGAAAGAGTGTTAACAAAAAAGAAAAAGAAAATAGAATAAAGGAAGAAAAAAAAGTTTAAGCAAAGATAAATAAATACATAAATAAAAAATAAAGGCAATCAACAAAAGAAAGACCATAGAATAAGGAAAGGGAGGGAATAAGAAAAAGAAAGAAAAAACAATGAAGGTAAGAAAAAGAAAGATTTTCATAAAAGGAAAGTGTGAGTAAAGACAAACATTTAATGAAGTATGAGCCAAGAATGAAATGAGAAGAAAAGAAAAAGAAGAAACGAAGTATCACGATAAGAAAGAAAAAAAAGAATGAATGAATGAATGAATGAAAGAAAGAAAGAAAGAAAGAAAGAAAGAAAGAAGGAAGGAAGGAAAGAAGGAAGGAAACATTGAGTGCATAATACATAGAAAAATCAATAAAAAAAAAAGAACGAAAATGATGATGAGAGGAAAAGAGGGAAAAAAAAACACCTTTCCCGAGAAGAGGGAAAAAAAAAACACCTTTCCCGAGAAGAAAGAAAGAAAGAAATTAGGAAAAATAAAGATGTATAAGTAAAAACAAAAGAAAAAGAAAGGGTAAGAGAAGAGGAAAAACAGAAAATATCTGAAAGAAAGAAAAGGACAAACAATGAAATGAAAACTGAAGTGATGGCGAGAATAAAGAAAGAGAAAAATCAACCCAAAGCCAAAATGAATGGAGCGGGTTCGGAAAAGGAAGCGGATAACTGGAATAATAATGACGGCATTGCAAAATCAAATGTGAAAATGAAAGAAAGTAAATTGAAGAAGCAAGTCACGTGAGACTGTAAAGGAAAGAAAGAGAAAGAGAAAAAAGAAAAGAAAAAAAAAACCCAGAAAAACGAAGACGCAACGGAAATTAGCAAAAAGCAAATGAATATGGAAGGAAAGGGATATACGAAGATTTATTTGCGATAAAAATAAAAGAGAAAAGAAAAATAGAGCAAATGAAATTACAGTGTAACCCGGATATAAGAGACCCGGATATAAGAGAAACCCGGATATAAGAGGCTTCTTCTCCGGTCCCGACCACTCTCTTACATCCGGGTTACACTGTATATGCTTCACACTGAGCAAGAATTTGAAACACGAATGCATGCAATGGATCAATGACTGTACTGGATTGGCCCAAAAGATTTTTTTTCTGTTTATTAATATCAGTAGGAACATCATAGAATAATATTTACTGTTTGGTTCCTCATCCTTATGACATCATTCTAACAATGTCGTAAATCCATCGACTCAGATCTTTCATCTTAAATCGGAATAAATGAATATATGGACTCTGTGTTCAGCACTAAGCAGTTATGGCATAAAACGTGCGTTCAAGTCGCTTTTTGGTGTTGATTCCGTGTACACTTTTATATTTACATACACTCCATCTCTGATATTGAACACTTTTACCCATGAATATAGCATACCATACAGATATATAAAAAAATACAGGTAACAAAAAGTAATATCAATTGATTGATTTATTTTTATATATTATCAACCCTTTATTAAGCTGAATGTTTCTCAGTGTAATAAAGGTGCTTTCAGATACACGTGTAGAAATACCGATGTATTTGTGTTCTTAGTGAATGTAATATATATATATATATATATATATATATATATATATATATATATATATATATATTATTTATTTAAAAATATGATTCCGACGCTACATAAGAGTTCTAATGTTTCAAAACAAGAACCGAAAACTTCAATATAATTATTTGAATTAAATTGAATTAAAGTACTAAGCTCTGTTCCATCTTCAAGCGAAATTTTTACTGGAATAACTTATTCCTGAAATTTACGCGTTTTATAAGCATATTCATTATTGAAATCAAAATTTCTATGGTAACGGCTAGAGCAATTGTTTAAAGAAAAGGGGCGTAAGGGTTAATAATTTGTATCAATATCTCAGTTACATTCACAGATGCCAAGTCAGGGTAAGGTTGGGGTGTCTAAATTTAAAGCGGAAGATGACATCGTCTAGTCTTGTTAAGTGTCTAGGGAGATTTATTTATTCTTTTATTTTATTTTTTATTTTTCTGAAAAGGTTTTGTGTATATAAATAAAAAAACTGTCGTAAGTCGCTAGCATTTGTTTTTTTGACGACTTCATAAAGGGTTATCTTTATTTTTTATTTTATTTTTTGTAGGGCATTTAAACTATTTATTTAGACTACACACACACACACACACACACATATATATATATATATATATATATATATATATATATATATATATATTTCTGTGTGTGTATGTATGAAAATAAAATCATTCTTGATAATGGCCAAACGTATAGCCGAATGTGCTCGGACATATAGAACATTCCGATAATTTCTGCATAATTTATGTCCGTAAAAGAAGAAAATTATAAGAACACAAGTATAAAAGAAGGACAACTGCCCATATATATATATATATATATATATATATATATATATATATATATATATATATATATATATATATATATATAGTTAATATTCAAATTATAGTTTATACACCGTTAAAAAACATTTTATACATAACGTCACTTGCATTCATTCTAAGTATATTTAAATTTAAAAGATAACAATTAAAAAAATTTAAATTAATAAAAGCGTTTCTCTCTTGCAACTGATAAGATTAACAGTTTTGATAGTGACAGCTGCTGTTCGAATTGACTTAAACACACACATTTTACCAATCTAATTATAATGGAAAAACGTCACAAGAAATTAAACGGAAGGACCTTGTTGCTCGAATTGTATAATGTATCTTTCATACATATATTAGATGTTGATTATATACACTGCGTGCCAAATTATTATCGATATATATATATTATATATATTTTTCTATTTCAAAAACCGACCAATCAATTCACACAAAATTTTCACACAATGCTGGCAATACTGACCTGCGCAATCACTGAAATTTTCGTACTGATCTGCGCAATGTAAACAAACTGGCGCCATATTTGTTATCAGCATGGTGATTTGAGCGTGCCAAATTATTAAAAAGGTTTAGTAAAATTCCCAGAGTTGAGCAAACAAAACGTTTATTAATGTTGCACGTGAATGTTTATGATCAAAAGAAGCTAATAAAAAAGTTATCTCGATAATAATTTGGCACGCAGTGTACATATAGTGACATATCACGTTGAAACACCGCTTCTCCTAGGATCACTGAAGTTAAGCAACGTAGAGCCTGGTCAGTACTTAGTTAAGTGACCGTTAAGGAATATCAGGTTCTGTAAGCTACGGTGTGCGGGTGATGTAATGGAAAACGGATCGGAATTGGAGATCGGGAGCCAAATTCGTTATATTCACGTAAGCTTAAATACCCTTGGGGAAGGCATGAATCCACATCTACTCCCTATTGTTACTACTAGAGAGCGCATCATCGCCAAAAAGGGTATTCGAAGCCCAATATCTCCGTGATCACACGCAATCTGATAACGTATGCCAGGTACATGCACCACAGCCAAAAATACCTGAGATGGTGACAGGTTTTGGCAAAAGCTGCGCATAACTTCTCAGGTGTAGCCCGGTTAGGAATATCTTCAAGTTTGGTGATTACTCTGAGGGTTTTTCGGTTTATAGTGTTTTCGACTATCAAGATGTAACTCCCGAGTCGCCTTGGCTGATGCATTCTTGAAACTTGAAAAATAAAAATCTGTCGATACCTGAAGAACCATTGGGTCAGCCCCTAATGAGCATGCCTAACATGTTAAAGTCATACAACTGGCTATCAAATATGTGTTATTGAAAGGGATATATACTGCATATAATGGATTGTGGCTCAGATTGAGGAATCGGAGAGCAGGATTCGAATTCCAGTCGAGTTCATTATATTTACTTACGTGCTAAAATAACTTGTGAAAGGTACACATCTATCTCTTCTCTTGTGTAAATAGCAGGACAGATTGGATTCTATAGCCTTGTGTAGCAACCAGTCTAGGAGAAAGAAAAACCTCCAACTATGGGTAAATAGTAGGAAAGTCTGTAGCCATGGTTTGCAGCCATACTAGGAGAACCCTGAATTCAAATCTAGAGCCGGAGCCCCAAAAGCAAATGTCATGTTCAATTTCGTTCTGCCAATTCCTGCAATGCTATATTGGCCTCTGCATTTCCTTTGGACAACATCGGTGGTGTGGGGATGCTTGAAAAGTAAGTTTTTAGTTGATTTTATTTAGTGGCATATCAACACTTCTATGGGTTATTTAATGCCGAAAACTAAATATTACGAACACAATTGTATGGCTTCAACTGAATATATTTTGAACGTAATCGTGTGCCTTCAACTCCAGATAAAATGTGTTGTTGGTCATTTTGTTATAAAATGTGTTGTTGGTCATTTTGTTATAAAATGTATTGTTTGTAAATCTACTATAGATATGTAATGTCGGCAATTTTTTATATAGTAATATTAGGCTAGCATTTTTACTATTAAAATGTATTTTTACTACTTTCATATTGTTTTGTTTTTTGTTTGTGTGGGGTCACTATTTGCCCATAGCTAGGACCCTAACAGGTGCTACCACCCCAAGTCAGGATGGACCTGGGGACAACAACAATAAAGAGGTTGTCCAACTCTCCTCAAAATCAGAGAATCAGAGGTTTTGCTGATGGATGTGGTTTATTGACATGCCCAGGACTATAAAAAATGGTAGTCAACTTGCGAGAAAGCGGGGAATATGATGAATATGGCAAAATCTTGTATCCCAATTAGATGACCTTCTGCTGTGTCATCCCGGCAACATATGGCCGAGGATTGTCATGAAGCAGAATTAGACCTCGTCGATTAACCAATACCGATCCCATTCTGTTTAACTGAATATGCATTTCATCCAGTTGCTGGTAGAAAATTTCGGCAGTGGTGATTTGGTTAGTTTCCAGAAAACTGTAATGGATAAAGACAATGCTGTCCACCAGACTGTCACCAAAATCTTCTGTTTGGTGCAATTTTGGTTATGGAAAGAGCTTGGGTCCATCATCATAACCAAACCACTGAGTCGATCGTTTTCGTTTGACATAAAGATTCTATCTGTCATCACAAGTCACCATTTTTTATTTTATTTTTTACATCCTATTTCAGTAAATATTTTAATTTCTTTTTTTAAATATAATTAATTTATTGTTTTTTTCAGTGAAAGACATACTGCAATTATTAATTATTTTCTTTCTTAGATTCAGATTAGAGACGGAAACGCTGCGGATTTTGGACATATGTTCCTTAAAAATGTAACTAAAAACATCAGTAAAATATTATATTTTTTAATTATTTCATTTTTAAAGGTTACTTTATATTTAAATAAGCTGATTCACTTAAATTTCTAAATACTGTCATTTCTGTCCTTCCGTCCGATAAATTGCTCTGACGTTAGTTGTTCATACATTGACATAAACTTCATTTAACATCTCCAAAACTAATCACCACGGTTAGATAGGCTCCACTTATTTTCAACAAAAATTTTTCTGCTAAAAATTAAGTAATCTTTGTTTCCATTTACATTAAGTAAACTTTAAATTTTCTAATTTTCGTAAAATAACTTTTGAAAAAATATAATTGAATGTTGCAATATTTTAAACTAAGAATTTCACTTTTGTTTACAAAGTCGTCAAAAATGGCTGACATGATCGATTTTATATCAATTTTGCTGACTCAAAAACACAAGATTTTTAACTAAAATTTTCGACGTGCTCGGAAGGATTAATTTGAAAAATAATAAATAAAAATATATCTGATCTTTCCTCTTAATAATAACATTGTTATCAATTTGGGGGACTTCTTTTTATCAAGGTACATTCTTTTTTAGCGAAGTAGTGAAACTCCCTACTATTCGAACAAAAATTGATCATTCGAATTTCGTAGATGTGGCATCAAACAGACCTTGACTTACACTGAGTTCATATGGAAGCCACTTATCGAGTTACTTCATCTTGCCAATTGCTTAGAGATTATCCGATACTGTCAAAATACTGACACCCATTATCTGAGTCATTTCTCTGGCAATTTGACATGGCTTTTTTTCGACTATTGTTTCCAAATGTTGATATATATATATATATATATATATATATATATATATATATATATATATATATATATATATATATAAATGTATACGGGGTGTAACAGCGAAATTGGACAAATCGTGTAACTGCATAATTGTCCATACCACAAAATGTTTTATATCTAAAAAAATAAAAAAAACACTCAACAAACTGAGTTTCTTTTATCCAGGTATTCAGATAAGGCGTTTAGCCATTTTGTCACCATTTGTCGTAGGAATTGTTAGACATTTTCATGACGGTTGTCCTCGAGTATAGAATCCAGAGGTTGGCAGTGAATATTTCGGAGACAGTAGGAAAGCGTAGTGAAGGTTCGCAGTGGATATCACAGCAGAGTGTAGTTCATCCTTCTCCTGGTCGCCTTTTGTCCTTCTGGTAGGAGGAAACAAGATGGCCGCCTTTATACACTATGAATACAGTGTTGGGCGGCTTCTGATTGGTCAACCTTCTATTGGTCGACTATAAAGGGAAATAAGTCATTCTGACTCGCTCACTAGTTATAAGCATATATACCCAAAAAACCATAACAGGAATCACTGACAAACACTTTGAATTATTAAAATAGAAAGAGAACAGATTAAAATCGTTTTGTATCAGACCCGCTATCTTCCTTAATTAGCAATGATGAGAGGAAGAAGGTCCTTACGGCTTTCAGTAATGATACCAACATTCGTACTCTGGCTTCCACTTTCAGTGCCCTTTCAAAAACCATCAAGAGAACGGTGAATAAGTTTAAAGAAGAGGCAACAGTATAGAAGAAACCTGGATCAAGAGGACACAAAAGAAAGAGGGATCATTATTTCAACTTGGAGCTAAAAAAGATCAATTAGAAATGATCCAACTCAATTCATAAGATGTTTGGCACTTGAGAGGCAGGGTCAGCTAATGACAGTTCAAAGAGTAGTGAAAAAAACATAAAAATGAAATCTTAAGTGAAACGTGTCCGGCACATTGTTACACCAGGACAGAAAATTAGAAGTTTAGATAGGGTGAGGGTCATCTTGAATAAGCTGGAAAATTACCCTAAAATAATGTATGTACATTTGAACGTAATTTCAATCCTTCAGGAACTTCCGATCCTTAGCTATGATTAATTAATGATGAACATGTCATTTTCGTTTATGATCGATTTCATCACGATTCTTCTATTAACCTTGGAGAGTAATTATATATTACTCCAAGTCCAATAGTGTTATAAAAGCCTCGAAGAATTCTGGTAAGATATCTTTAATCATTTCTAAGATACAACGGTTCAAAGAATAATCTAACAATTGGACAATTTTGCTTTTACACGATTTGAACAATTTTGATGTTACACCCATATAACACACACACACACACATACACACACAGATATATATATATATATATATATATATATATATATATATATATATATATATATATATATATATATGTTTGAATAAAAACAGACCACGTTAAGATTCCATGTAATAAGCTATTTCACCATAACCACTTTAACAGGGTTCTGGATCATCATATATATATATATATATATATATATATATATATATATATATATATATATATATATATATATATATATATCCGTGTGTGTGTGTGTGTGTCTGAGATTTCAGATATAACTAAAAGTATATCCGTAAAAGACAGAAATAAAAACTATAGGAAAACTTATCTAAGGTAAGTTTTTCTTTTTATATTCATATATATATATATATATATATATATATATATATATATATATATATATATATATATATATATATATATATATATGTGTATATATATATATATATATATATATATATATATATATATATATATATATATATATATATATATGTGTGTGTGTGTGTGTGTGTGTGTGTGTGTGTGTGTGTACGTGCGTGTGCACATGAGTTTCTCTCTGTGTGGGAGGGTGTATGTGTGCGCGTGTCTCGTTTTCTCAAATAGAAAAATAATATATACCATGAGAATAATTTCTATTTAACATTCAGTAATTGTTGACTTTTCCTTATCAATTTTACATACCATTAATTACCGTTTTTAATCTGTATTCCACGATTGTGTTACTTTTCGTAGATTAACGCAAAGCAATTTTGAATTTTACTAAAATGACTTTTATTGCTACTTTTGAAAATAAATTGGGTATACTTGGCCAACGTGTGGGAAGGAAGAACATTCAAAACTTATTTATGCTG